TCGCAGCAACTGTCGAAGGAGCAGGTCGAGTGCGGCACGTGACCCGCTAACCCCGAAAGCGCAATACACACGGCATCCTGCCCTCCATTCCCGAGCAGTCAAACACATCTGCCAAAGGGCAATAAAAAATTGACAACGCCGACGCCAACAGACAGCAGCAAAACGACGGCGGAGGAGGCAGGTCTAGAGACTATACAGAAAGAAACCAGACATTTCTTAGCAATTGGTATCAATTCAAATAATTAATAGAAAACATGACAAATCAATCATCTTTATTTTGTAAGAAGTTACGTTCTTCATCTTCTTTAATACCGATAGGTCTCTCAAGTTTAAGTAATGGGATCATACGTTTAAGGAATCGATTTTAAAATAATTTCATAATTTCATTCACTTTATTTTGTAAGAAGTCATATACTGCATCTATTTTATAAAAAGAATATTTAAAAAAAAAATTAGATCTATAACTTGAATTATGCTTTGGATTAGAGCTGCAAAAAATCGATGGTACTATCGATAATATTGATGGTTGGGCTCTAGTGACCGCCATCGATGTTTCTCAGACTATCACGATAATTCCCATCACTTGAATTTCAAAGGAACAAGAAGACTGAAATAAACTTATTGCGTTTTTAATTGTAATAAATTTTCGGCAGAAATTAAACTATTATATTGGTTTTCAATCCTTTACACAATACTTTAGATATAAGCGATACCTTCGCGATAGTATCGACATTTACTCCTCAAACTATCAAAACTATCGATTGTGCTACCATCGATGTTTTTGCAGCTCTAGTTTGTAGATTGTGTTAATGGACGAGAGAGTATAAGTAGTAGTATACAATGAGTATAAGTAGCTATTTTTACATATATTTATTAATTAAATAATATATTGATAAATAATTAAAGTGTAGTTACAAACAGGGATAAAATTAATAAGTACAAATAGTTTATTCAAGGACTGGCTTTATATGCAACCTTTTTTTTATTAAGGAGATGTTTTAGCCAACTCGGGGTCATATCGGCTTCTACTTCAAGAAGTCTAAGTCTGTTGACATTATGCCACCACACAAAAAGGAGCGAAGAGGCCAACTCAACGATTAGCAGTAACCCTCTGTCATCCTGCAAGCAGTGCTATAACTGGTTGGGAATTATAGTGTCATTTTGGCAAGCTGATCAAGATGAATGAATGAAACTTCTCTCTAAAAATATGTTTTTTGGCACATTTAATTAAAAAATATTAGCTCTATTTGATTATAACCTGTAGTGTCCAAAATACTTGGTTAAGTAAATGGTAAATAATAAAAAAATTATTATTTTTCACCGTGTAAAGTAACAAGCTCTGTTTTCATGCAATCATTTGCCAAAAGAGAGGGCTAGTGGCGAAATAAAACTACGCCAGCCTATAAGTTGACACAGCTACAAAGTGCTACATTGCAGCAATATCTGGGAAATCTTTGCCGCAGCTGCACTGGCATCACAAGTTGCATTTGCATCACTTTCCCCAGAATGCTTTCAGGTGGGGGAATGCCCATTCCCCATCCCACAGGTAAACACCTGCGGCCGGCAGTTTGGCTGATTAAAGCGCTCCCCAGCGGAGGAAGTAGAATCATCAGCCATTTTTGGCTGGCAGGCCGGAAGCACTTTGCGTGCAGATTTATGGCTCGCCCCAAGCCAATCCTCCGTGGGAAATACTCGTACATCTGCATGCATTTATACATGGACGCTCAGATGCGTGTGCTCGGGTTTATGGGCACGTATCCTTCGGTTTTCCACGCTGCTCTGCGTTTTTATTTTCGCATGCATTAAAATTGCATTTGCTTTGGCGGCTGATAAAACTGTCGGCACTTGACAACCTTATCGCCGCACTTAAAGTCGTGGTCAAAAAACAATATGCCCATTAATTTCAGGGCGGATTTATTGGTGAAAAGTTTGTACCCGTTTATGATGTACATGGTTTGCAGAATCACGATAGTGCAAACGAATCTCCATTGGGGATTTTTTGTTACTTAAACCTTGCATTTTAAGACCTTATATTTATCGAAAAATAACAATTCCCGACGAGGTAAAATACTAGTGACGATCGTGTCTCTAACGTACTAAACTTCTCATAAAATTATCAACTTTGAGACGAAAAATGATTATACATTCGACTAAATAAATAAACTTTTTAGCACTTTTAATCGGCTTTTTTTTTATTAGCAAAAGGATGCTCATGTATTATTCTGCAGCGTCACTAGTTTTTTAAACTCATAAGGAGTTGTTTTTGTTTGATTTAATAATACTAAATATTTAATATTTCCTAATATTTCTCTAAATTAATTGTAAAGAAAATGTTAATTACACTAGATTACAGCCAAAATGCTCCAAGAAGAATAATGACAGTTCCTAGTAGAGTGTGAACCCTAGATAAAAAAAAAAGAAGTCAACTAATTTTTAAAGAAATGTTTTTTTTTAGCCCACAATATACTCAATGTCGCCTATTAACTTATTCGGCAAAATAAACGGTGACATTATAGTTTTAAAATAAATCATGAATCGCCTAAATTGATTAGACTCAACTCAAAATATAATTAAAATCCGGAACTACCAAAAAAAATGTTTAACATAACAAGTCAACATTTGAAAGACATTTGTTAATTTTAATCTTATTAAAAAAATTAAAACTAATTAGATGTAACATTCGCACGTGATACAAGAAACGTAATTATTCAAGTATAATTGAATACATTTAAAAGGAAATTGTAGCTATTAAATTCTATTTATTTCTCTTATGATTTCAGCCAATACTTTCCTATTGATTGCGCACGTGTTTCGAACTCTCTTAGTGTTCCACTTTGTGCCATTTTTTTCCAGCCCAACGACTTTTGAGTGTCAGCTGAAAAGCTGGAAGTGAAATCAGCCATGGCACTTGAGTTTTCCCACCCAGAGTTTCCTTTTGCAAAATCCACCGAACCTTTGACTTTGGCTTTAAGTTGTATGGCGTTCGACTTGTTTGCCTTTCATTTGCTGTCCACTCACGCAGCTTCACTCCAGTTGGCGCGGCCACTTGCCAGTAATCCCAGCCCCAAAGGAGACTACTAGCTACCACCCACCTCCTCCTGCCACCTCCTTTTTTCCACCTGCCACCTGCCACCCACTCCAATGCCGTACACATAATCCGTTTAAAATGAGCACCGGCAGTGCTCCAGTTTCCGCTGCTCCTGTTTTTGAGTGCACTGAAATTAATTTAACGACTTGACGCACTTCAAACTGCACAAAACACATGAGTGCTGTGGAAAATGGGGGGGGGGGGGGCTTTCACCGGGTTTCCTGGAGTGGGTGGTGTTGGGAGGGAGAGTGTGGAAAAGCTGGGACAATGGCAACTTGACCTTGACACGTTCGACGTTTCACCAGCGCCTTCTCGTCCTTCTTCCAGCTGTTCATTTTTTGCGACTTTCGCTTGGCTTACGTAAATTCAATTTTTAGTTTGATGAAAGCAAAGTTCACGCTACGTACAGGTGTGTGTGTCCCTGTGTGTTAGGACTACCTGAGCATCCTGCGCCTGCAGGTATGCAATGCCATTTTTGCACTGAGAAAAAGTGTCATATGAATAATCCAGAAATTAAAAAAGATTAGGGCGCAGGATACCAACACATTTTACAATTAATAAAATCCTAAACTAATATTTAAAGGCATCAAAATATGGTATGTGCATTATGTATGGATATTTTTAAGGTATTTAAGATATACCGAAACCATTTTTGGAGAGAATTGGTTACACTCTTTATACTCATACGCACTGTTGCCTCTGATTAAATATCTTATTTTCATATAGCTGGCCCTGACTTGGTTTATTTCTAAAATCAGTTTTCGATTTGCGGGTTGGGGGGGGTTGGGGAAATGAGTTTTTAAAAAAGTTCTGACTGGCATACCTGTCGTATGAGTAATTTTTATGGAAACTTTGAGGTTTCTCTGGGTCTAGATCTAAAACAAAATGTTTTTTTGAATATGTTTAATAATAATATTAACTCAGAAACTAATTAAATGAATATAAAGCAAATATAAGTAATCATATGAAATCCTCACAATATTAAAATAAACAAAGGAACATTTCGAAATTCATGGTCAACCTTGATAATTTTTCATAAATATATCGACGGTCGAACTGTATAATATTTTTAAATATAAATTTTTCCAGTGCATTTGATATAAGGAGGATACGGCTCTATTGGAGAGCGTGTGATTTGCACAATCTGCACACAACTCGAAATTAAATTCGGCCCCGGCAACAGCTCGAACTTTTTTGCGAAAGGTCAAAATGTTAATGTATTTGAAATGAGACGCCACAAAGGAACGAGAGCGAAAGGACCAAGGATAAAATGTAGTGAGTAAAAGGGCAAGGCAGAGGGAACAGCAGCCGAAAAACGAGACTCAGATGCGAGATACAGCACAGAGAACTTTCTCCCCTGGAAAGTGGCAAAAACTTGTCCATGTTCATTCAACTTGACACGGTCGCCAGCGGGCAGACAAACTCCCACCAAAATAAAACGGACCAACTAAAAAGTACAGGAGACTTGGGTCTACCTTAGGTATGAACACTGTACATATCCTTTTACAATACAGTAGAGCTTTAAAAATGTAAAACAAAATATTTAAACATTTTTTAGAGAGTTAAACAAAAAGTATATCAAAATCATATACTAGAAAGGGCCTAAAAACGTGATGTTGATCTATTTCTATTGATACTGCTTGGCTATTAATTAATATTCTAATTTACATTCACGTAGACAAAATATTTTTTGGACTTGTGTTTTTCGATTCAGGTCCTAATAGACCGGAAATCAACCCATTTGGTATTACCAAAACTGCGATGTATCGTAAAATGTGGTTCTAGGCTGTTTTGAAAAGTAAACTAAAATTAAGTTTATTCTCCTTAAATGTGTGCCACTAACTGCAAGCAGAATCAACATAGCCTCTATAGTAACTGGGTGCCAAAGCCGAAATAAAAACATGTCTGCGAGTGTTGGGAAGGGGGGCGTGGAATGTTTAATGCGATTTGCCACACGTAACTCAGTCTGGGGAGAATGCTGAATTACTTAGAATAAAGAAGCCCACATCGTGTTCCACTTTTGTGCTTTATTGAAGAGGGATACACAAAGTTATTTTCCCTGATTTGGGTTCAAAATGCAAAGCATTGTCAGGGGATCCGTCAGGCAATCTACAAAATGGTTAAGTAATTAATTAAATATATTAAATAACCTTTTTGCTACCAACCTCCAGCAACAAACGAGTTCCACATAATTGAAATTAGTAATGAAATAAGCAGAAACAGCTTCATGTTGTGAATGGTTCAGAAAAACATTTGGAAATGATGCACTAACTAAAATAAGTTTTTCCCTTATCAGTAAAAAAGTCCCCGATGTGAACTCTTCAAAATCAAAAACAAGATTAGAAGAGAGAATTGTCATCCGCCAGATTTACATACAATTGCACTGATTGAGATAAGAAAATCAAACGGTCGAACGGGGACTTTTAAACAAGTAGGCAAGCCTACATACAAATAAAAAGTAAAAATAAATAACAAAATAATTTCATATAACATACTTGGATTGATTAAGTTTTAATAAAGTAAAGTAATAATAAAGTACTAGCCTTGCCGTCAAAAAAGTTGTTCTAAGTCATTATTTGGTTTTCCGTTTTTTTCTTGATCAAGTCTTAACGAAAATATTTGGTTAACTACCATATACACCTGCCAGTTGTTTTGTATAATTTCACGTCTTAAGGCCGTATTTTACTTGCTAGTGTCGATAGGCAACATTTTTGAAAACCGATATGTTGCAGTAAGTCGATAGCAACAAGCAGCGTGACCGTTTATGGTATATTTTGGAACTTTTTGGTATAACTTGGTGTACGTCAATTTGTCGTCGATAACACTAGTTTACAGGTTAAACTTATTTTTCGAAATAAATGTGGAGACCCATTTTTATACCCATGCAGACGATATTATGATTTCAGTCAGAAGTTTGCACCACCGTGGAGGAGAAGTTTTCGAACCACTAAATTATATTTATATTTAAAGCCATCGCGATCAAGCCTTCCCAAAAGTTTTATTTCTTTTCCAGGTAGTTTACAATATGTAAGTCGAGACTACATATATATGTACGTTACTTTGTAGGGTTCTAGAAATAAATTCCATCTTTCGAGTTAAATTCGGGAAACGATGCCTCTAAATCAGCGGTCGGCAGCGTCCCACATACATCTACATATAAGCAGTCCCGTGTAAGTTACTCACACAAATAAAAGACAAAATGGCATTGTATTCCGTGCCGACCGCTTCATCATGCGAAATTTGACCACTTTTTTACCACTTTTTCTGGACAAAATTTATAACTCAAGAACGGAGCAAGATACGTGTCTTCTGTTTTTTAAATCGGGTTAAATTGGCTAATATCTATTAGAAAAATAGAAATAGAGGGCGTCACACCTCCCTTTTTTTTGTAATTATTTAAACTTCTCCAGATTTTTAGATAACTTCTTTAACAAGTAACAGTATTAGGTTATATTTATTGAAAATAGTGGGCGTGAAACGTCTTAAAACGGTTTTAAGGAAGAAAGACAATTAATAGTGTATATAAAAAACAATGTTTTCTTTACACATTTCTTAGAAAAAGTCCTGTTCCTCGTTATACTGTTATTTACGGGTTAAACTTTATATATGCAAGCTTCCCACTTTTCAAGATTATTTTGAAAGGCATCAATTTAGATATTGCGTTTTTTACGTATTCGTCTTTCTTTTAAATGCAGTCCTTGCTGTCTTTGACAAATTCCAACTTGCGAACTACAGTCCTACCGAATACTTCTGATTGTATCGCATGTTTTTTTTTTTTGATTGCTCTCTTATAGCTAAGTATTGGTCTTTTGTAAAATGTTGGTCCAGAGGAAGAGCTAATGCCTCATTAGAGGACAAAGTTTTGGCTTTTTAATCGGTGCCATAATTACTTGGCATATTGCGTATTGAAAGAAGCTTACGAATACTGGCTTGTTTTTTTTCGTGCAGCCAAGATAGCTTCAGCCTTTGCATTATGAGGCAGTGTTTGCCGAACTATTGGCTTCTTGGTTCGTGGTAAATTGATTAATGTTTTGTAATCCTGCCAAACTGCATGCTTAGTGGGCAACTGACTTAAATTACCATAGGAACTCTTCCACGTTTGCGTCAGGCGTTAGCAAATTTTTTTTACTTGTTTGGTTTTTCACATCGCTGTGCTATTCAAAATCCATTTCTGATATGGCAGCTTTCATAAAATTAAACACATCAAAAAAAAGTAATAGGCTTGACTGCTGCTATATATATTCAGGTGACGATTCGTGGAGACACTCCCCATCTTAAGCCCAATTGCTTTTCTGCAAGAGTATAGTGCGATGATCGTTTTCGTTGTTCTTTCTTGGTTGTTTAAACTCAATTTTAGACGCTTATCATATCAGTGATTAAGTTCTTGAGAAAAAATCGATTAACAGTGCCAACCTCGTAATCCTCCTATGCACAAATACGTTTTAAAAATTTAATTAATAAATTTAATACATTTTTTCACAAAGTGTCTTCCCAAGTACCGCATTTATTGGCCGTTGGGTGGTAAACTAGAAAACATTTCTGGAAAATTGCGTTAAAAAATTGTCCACGGTTTACGAGAAAATAGCTTAGCAGAGGGTTAATTTAAAAGGAAAATGGAACCCGCCTCTTCCAGTACAAGAACCATTTGCCCATCCATGACAAGAACCTCTGTATCCGAGACTACGACCGATGTAAAATATCGTATCTTAAAAAAGGGATTTAAATTAACTATCTATAGAAATAGTTACATCAAATTATTATACAGTTTTCGAGAAATGTTAATGATCCACAGCGTCAGCCATGTTTTCGATGCTAACTTAAAAACAATTATTTTTATTATTATCATCCACGTTGCACAGTTCCTAACAAAATTTAAATTTTTTATATAAAAAGTTTCATTGAATAATTATCCGCAGTTCTCGAGAAGTTTGCAAGCCAAAGCCATCACTCGCCGGAATTTACGAAACTGGCACGGAAGTGTAATCATGGCACGCAAAATTTCAATGGCGAAATGTGTAAATATAAAAATGTTTTTTTTATATCATTAAATATTAGCAAATATTCCTTTTTTAGACAATAAACAACTTTTACCGGGGAGATCAGAGGAGACGCCATTTCGGCGCGCCGGCGCATAATGTTCACCGTGTGCTCCGCCTGTAGCTTAAGGTAGAGCTCTAAGTCCATCAATTTAAAAAGTGGACGTGTCGCAATACAAAAGATTCCAATAAGGCTTTCTGCAAGTATTGCAAATGGTGCTTAAATTCGAAATTTGATGAAATCCGTGCGTACATGATCACTAAAAACTATCAGCAAAAAGTCACCATTTGCACCAACAAATAAGCCTAACTCTTAACCTAAGCCAAAGGGGAAGTTTGTGTGCAGGAAGCGGAACTGTCCATGGATATGGATGGAGTTGCTCATTTGACGGAAATATGTAAATGTCACCTTGGAGCAACCGAGGATGACCTCACCGTTTAAATAAATAATTTCAATACTCTAACATAATAGAATATTAAATTTAGTAATGATTAACTTTTGTCCGTTTTTGTCCGGTTTTTCCGCACAAGTTTTTGGCACTCAACGTTTTTTTTAGTTTAATTTTTATTTTACCTAACCTTCTCTAGAAAAATTCCTTTACCTAATTTCTCAGATCGCAAAACTTGAGATTGATTTCTTGGATATCTTGGGGCTCCCGCTTCCATGGAAGTTAATTATCAAACATGTCACAAAAATTGAGAACGAAATTGAATTGAGATATCAAGTCGAAAGTATGGTCGATTTTGATTTTCAGAGGAAGATTTTGTTAGGAAGAAGAGGAAATTTCGTATTTCATGTACTACATATAAAATGAATTATTAATTATGTTTCATTGACAATAGTTGTAAGCATTGTTCGTTTTGAATTTCCAAAATGGATTTAACAGAAGTTATTGTGAATGTAAATTGTAAAAATGTATCAAGGAACTATTTAAGTTACCCGAGAATGTAACACCAATCCTACATGTTTATCAGTTAAATAATGTATTGAAACCCGTAAGGCTTAAGTGTATGTAGTTATTAGAATGTTGTATATTCAATTAGTACAAATTTATAAAGCAAAGTGAAATAATGTATTAATTTTCTTTGATAATGATATCTAAAATGTAAAATAAACGATTTATGCTAGAAGTCAAGAAAAGGTAATCTTGAAATCGAGATGAGTGTAATCTTAATACAGAAATGAATTTATAAAAAACCGAATTTAATTCATTTGCACATCGCTCATAGCTCGATAGGTGTGCTAAAAAGATATGACATTCACACTTTCACAAAATACCAATTAATACTAAAAGCTAGCAATATCGAATCTAAAAGATATCACGTTAATACTCAATTCTAATAATATAAAGTACTGCCAGTGCTAACAACATAGACACATCTATTACTGCTAAAGCCTAGTACTCAGATCGGCTAAGAGTTTCACTAGTCCAAAAATCGTATTCTTTATAGTGTTACCGAAGTATTCAAAGTTCACCCGCAATGCGTGTAGCATGGTCTTACTGTCCAGAAAAATGGAAGGACTTTAAAAAGACAAAACTGCTGGTGCACAAATAAATACAAATAAATGGAATGTTCAAAGGATGTTTTTATTTTTGTTAATTATTAGTTGAAGGCTTCTTTCTCTTGTCCCGGATGCTTTGCCGTTTTCTTCGCCATTTGTAGGTTCGTCGGAGTTCGTATTGCTGGAGGTTCTGCTAAAAGGATACCTCTGTTATATTGCTTCCTGTATTGTCGTCAGATTTTGATAAAATTTAATTCGAAATTCAAAACTAATTCAAAAATGTAATTTCCCAGCTTAGAAGGTTATACGTTAAAAAACACCAAAGATATAATTTTTTTTTTTTGTCTGATTATTCCTATGGGAGCTATAAGATATAGTTGTCTGATCCGGCTGGTTCCGACTTATATACTACCTGCAAAAGATATAAGACTTTGGGGAAAGTGTCAGCCCGAGCTTTAAAACTGAGAGACTAGTTTGCGTAGAAACGGACGGACAGACGGACATGGCTAGATCGACTCGGCTAGTGATCCTGATCAAGAATATATATACTTTATGAGGTCGGAAACGCTTCCTTCTGCCTGTTACATACTTTCCGACGAAACTAGTATACCCTTTTACTCTACGAGCATACTAAAAGCCACACAAAACTAAAAGAATATAAACATTTATTAAGAAATTCTTTCCCCGCTTAGAATTTGGAAACTTCATCTAACATTTCAGTACAATACATTGTTTTTAATAAAGAAAATGATAGGCAAAATTGGTTCGATGACAATAATTTTAGTAAAGGAAATATAATTTTTG